CCAAAGCAACTATTTCAACCGTTAAGTCTACAACATAACACAGAACAACATAATGACCATGCATTTAAAAATCAAATTCAAAATATTATTGTGCAAATTATATTAATTTGTGAAACAAAGGTCTATAGATTATCGGAAAATGGAGAAAATCAAATTGCGTATCATATGTAATATCTGTAAAATGTTCATACGCATCAGGTGAACCAGGTGAAGACCTGTTATACGGGCGGTCGTACATTACCGCTTTCAAGATAGCGTTTTATGTTGTTGATGTGAAAATTATTGATTGTTTGTCTGAACCATAAAATAGATATAATATATCTGACGTTTGCTTCGACACTGGACTTCAACAGTTGCAAATTGTACGTGATATGGGAAAGGGAGGCCCGTACCAGGTGTTTGAAAATCAAGGATTGTGAGTCTCACACTGCATCGTTTTTCTTCAAACTTGTTCCATTCAAAGGACAACAAAAATACCTTTCTGTTGGTACTATATTATTATACAGAGTCCCTCGTTTTAGCGGCGTTTGGGTCCCCAGCTGAGAGAAGCGCTTCTCACAGCTTGGGACCAAAATATATTTTAAAGTTTGACTTAAAATTGTTGAAATGCGCAGTCACTGATTGTTATTGAATTAGGAGAAAAATTGGAGGTTTCTTGTTTTGACCTATTATCACCATTGTTCGAGTTCTTTAGAACGTATCTTTAATAGTGTATGCTCAAACAGGACATATGGGGGGCAATGGAGAAAATGTACCATAAGCACGATTACTTCTAAAACGCCCTTGCTGTATTGTATCTTGTACTGGTCTAGAATAATACAATTAAGAGAAGATGAAAGAGCTTTACAAGTGTATTTTGTATGTGTAGTTAGCTACTGTATTTTGTTTTATCACAAAACCTGTTGTTTACTTTCATTTTTTGCGAGAGCATTGACAAATCTGGAATTTTTAACGAAACTCGGGAGGGTATCATTTATTAGAAAAATCTGGAGTTTTTACTGAAAACGAATCAGGAGTTTTGAACATGAATCGGGATGAGCAATAAAAAATCGGGATTTCTGACAGGTGAGTACTACTCAGAATGTTATTTTTGCGAATTATGCAACGCAATCAGACGACATGTACAAAATGTTACTTGTAATTAGTGCATGGTCGATTCTAGAATCATGAGAAAATAATATCTGACACCACTGAAATAAAGACAAGTCCAATAATTTAAAATATTTAGAGAGAGGAGGATCTTTTGTTGAGAGGATTAAAATGGAATTATGATTTCCTAAACTCGATGGTCCGTCTAAATAATTAATAGGTCATAAAATTTAGTGTATCATCACATGAGTGAAGAACCATCCTGAAACCAGTTTGACTTACACTACCTAACTCCGTAAATTAAATATTGAAAATCTACTAGTGTACGAGGGAGGGGAAACAAGTCTCCACCAAAGCACTAAAGTTTAAGAGGAATAATACATGTAATACAGTGTCCCGTGAATTTATAATTGTTTTGTTTCATGAGAGGAGTGATAAATCAATATTTGGAGCTATCAAAAATTAAGGGGATGGGAAATAAGTCTCCATTCAAGTGTTAAAGTCTAAAGTTGAAAATATTTTTTATCATTCATTTACTATTTGTCATGACTTTATGAAGTTATGAAGTTATTTTAGAGATTTTTGGAAACTAAACACTAAGGTTACAAAAACATTTTGAAATTTTTTTTTTTAGATGTCAATCTTTTCTAAACATGCTAGACTTCAATAATAAACCAATGCTAATTCTCTAACCAGGTTAAAAGGAAGAATATATTATGTTTTAGATATCATTGTACCATTGGTTTCTATGAGAACTAAAATTTTGAAATGCATTTTTCTTGGAACCATTTTCATGCACTGATGAGTTCATTTCTTGCTTATTTATGAACCGATTTTCTTAATTTTTTCGGCAAAAAACATGGGAGGATGAATGCTATGCATTGGTATGAATTGTGGCTAATTAAAATATATGTGTGACCTCTAAAAGTTAGTTTTAATTAGATTCACAAATTTTGGAACAAAATGTCTGTTACGCGGTAAACACGATACAAAAATATGTCATATTCCGCAACGAATATGGCATATTCACTTGCGGTGTATGACAGATTCACCTGCGGTAACCAGGTTAAAAGGAAGAATATATTATGTTTTAGATATCATTGTACCATTGGTTTCTATGAGAACTAAAATTTTGAAATGCATTTTTCTTGGAACCATTTTCATGCACTGATGAGTTCGTTTCTTGCTTATTTATGAACCGATTTTCTTAATTTTTTCGGCAAAAAACATGGGAGGATGAATGCTATGCATTGGTATGAATTGTGGCTAATTAAAATATATGTGTGACCTCTAAAAGTTAGTTTTAATTAAATTCACAAATTTTGGAACAAAATGTCTGTTACGCGGTAAACACAATACAAAAAATATGTCATATTCCGCAACGAATATGGCATATTCACTTGCGGTGTATGACAGATTCACCTGCGGTATATGGCATACAAACTAATCAATGAGAACGTGATACGGAAGTACGCAATTGTCAATTGCATCGATTGAACGAAATAGTAAAACGTTATTAATTATTGTAATGATTACTGAATCAACAGTACTGTGTATCGAATATATTAACTTAGCAAAAGTATCAGTCACCAATCTCGCGTAATAAACTTACTCAATCAATCCAGGATTCATATATTAGTACTCGACGCACTAACTATAATGGTAATACAGCGTAGTTTTACATTTAGAGTCGATTCTCGCATATTCACTGCGGAATATCGCATACTCACCTGCGGAATATGCCACATGCCGCAGGTGAGTATGGCATATTCACCCGTATCACAAATACCGCGCAACCATGAATGTATGCCATATACCGCGTAACAATGTCTATCAAAAACCACTTTTTGGAATTTAAAAAAAAAGTTTCACATATCACACTTTGATAACATTGGGTAAGACTACAATATAAGCCAAAGTGGTTTAAACTTGAGATGGGGACTTAAACGAATTAGAGAAGATTTCAATATCATGTGAAGGGAGGGTATGTGATATAGAAAATTGTTTTCTTTTTGGCTCTTACTAGATACATTTTAGCACTGTTTTACGCAAATAGAAGTCACATTTGCTTAATACGTACGTACGGTAAAATGTATCAAGATGAATAGGGCAAGGGAATTTTTAACAACCTAAACGTGAACGTAAAATATTAAGCGATGTATTTGTATGGGCGATTTGTCATATAGGTTGGTGTTTCGATTTATATGCAAGATTAAACTCACTAATAACAAGCATAGGATCCCACGCCGTTACCCATCATATTCTTACATTATCCATGCGTCAACCATACGATGACTGCACGGCCAGCCTACCCCTGTTTAATCTACACTGTTACTCAAATGTATGGATAGCATGCTTGTTTATACACAGTGGACATTTTTCTCTATGCTAACCAGCGACTTTGCATGCACGAACAAATGGCGGAATTTTGCCCAGTCAACCCGTTTTTGGCCCATTAATGCATAATGCAAGAAGTTATCTGTTTGCCTGTTTTGTTTAAAATGGATATAACATTGTGTCGGTCCGGATGAAAGACAACCCACGGACCTAGAAATCTCAGTTAAAAATTATAAATCAGGATTTCACGAGTATTTTTAATAATATCCTGGGAACTAGATGTATGTGTAATGTCTGTACATTGTATGTTGTATGAATGTTCAATGTTCGAATGCTGCCTCTATTGCAAAAAGCATCGCTCCTTTTTGTACCCGATAATTAAGAATAAATGATGAAATATTTTTCGCAGGCTAACAGCATTACGTTTAGTTTTTACAATATGAATTAGCTAGCCACAGTATATTGTGGTTAATTAAATGTAACGCATCGGATGCCAGAATATTGTGGTAATGCAGACTGGCATAACATACGTTTTTTTGTTATGATTTGAAATAGCAAGTCACATAAACAGCATACCATTAGAAAGCATATTTTGTCTTCTTTAATCTCCTTTCTAACAGAAGTGAAACTCAGATATTAAATTTAACGCAATACATTTGTACGTTTCATATAATTTCTCACTCCCTGAAAGTTTGATTTCATTCCGATGATTTATGGATATAAAGTATTGAGTGTTAAACAGCTTAATTCAATTAAAAATATTTAAAATTTAATTGTCAATCAAACTAGATGAAAACTGAATCAGATGCAATCCCGCATACCTTATGATATTGAACAGTGCCAGTCTCGTTTGTTGCTCCTCTGGGGCTTGCTGAACTTGACAAAAATGTTTTAATCCCGCATGTGTTCCTTATTAACAAAGGTCAATTTTGTTTAATTAAGTTAATGGAGGCCCCGGTCTGTGGGTAGCATGGGGACAATGTTCTACCACGTGTGGAGATGGTGAAAAAATCCGCACCAGAGAATGCAACAACCCTGCACCAGCTTATGGAGGTGATGAATGCAATGTCAATGATTTGACAGAGAGGATGTCCTGCAAAGTTCAAGAGTGTGCTGGTAAAAGCATAAGTTGGATTTACCTTTGCATGAAGTCAAGACTAAGATTGTTTTGTCAAACGTTGAATTCTAATATTCATTCAAGTTTTAAGCAAAGTATGGTGTAATCGCTTTTAACTTTATTCCAGGTAAAAAAATCAGAGGTTTATTATTAAAATGTAAAAGTGGCAGTGTTTCGATAGTCGGTAACGAGGTTAGACTGGTAATGTCTGTGGAGCACATTGGGGAGAACCCTACTTTTACATGGGACTTTGGTGGTGGTTTCAAGTTTAATGTAGTTGATCCAGCCCTAAGTTTGATGAGTCAAACAAGCTTGGATGTCTACTCAAGCTACATATATGAAGTTTCTCACACCTTCTTTGAAAAGGGGAAACATGATGTCATAGTAAGTGGAAGCAATCAGCACGGGAATAAAGCAGCTAATTTAACGATTGATGTTCTGGAAGGAACCTGCACTGGGAATCTAACATTTACGATGATAGATGACAGCACTTTGATTCAGCCATCAGTTTTCCATGCAAGGTCAGCATTACATATCACAGGAACTGCACATTTAAGTTATGACAGCGTATCGTCTTTGACGACATATACATGGCAAATCAATATACTCAACGATACATACCCATATCCGAGCTCTGCAAATGTGATCTATCCAAATAATACTGATGTGTCGACATATGAAAACCACTTGACCATTCGAGCAATGGGCCTAGATTATGGTGTATATGCGATAACTATGGGTGTAACAGCCATGCAGATAGGGAAATCCGTCTGTATGCTTTTTAAACAGGTAAGTCTAATGGGTAGTATCTGAGTGCTTTATTGTATTGGTTGATTTATTGTTTATACATCTTTTGACATTAAGATAATTTCTTTGTTCACAATCTGCTTTTGAGCATGTGGTAAAACAACATATCCAAGTTTTTGAATGTTTATATTATGCTGCAATATAATATTAGTAAATAAGGAATTAATATGAAATTGAACAATTGAAATTCTTAAATAATAGTATTGATAAAAATTGCAAGATACATGTACTTCATATTGGGAAACATCTATCTGCATGTATCTAAATTATATATTTGATACAGAGATTCATCAAATTGAAGTCTGCTCCTCTTGTACCTATCATAAAGGGTGGAACATCAAGGTCAGTTAATTCCATGGACAAAGTTTTCATAGATGCAAGTCTCTCATATGACCCTGATGAAGATGTGCTACATGAAGATGTGTTAAAGTGAGTACATGCCTAATCCTCCTTCCATGTATTTATAATGTACATTTGAGTCCAACATTACATAGAATTAAAATCACAATTTACATTAACATTTATTGTATGTTTCCCCTTGTAATCTCATGCTTTTGTGGAGACTTCAGTTGTAGGTGATAGAGGCAGACAATGTACGTTGGTATTTTTTCAGATTCAAGTGGTCCTGTAGCAGATATGAAGTAAATTGTGAGCTTCCCGGGTTAAGCAACTGCACAGAGGAGGCGCTTAATGGCTTATGCATAATTTGGTCCAGTGATACATCGCTTATACTAACGGGTAAAGTATTTTATTCTTACTAGTGTAATTGCAAAGAGGAGGCACTGAATGGCTTCTGCATAATTGCTCCAGTGATACATCTTTTATACTAAAAGGGTAAAGTTGTCTAGTTAAAAATGAATAATTTTACAGAGGAGGTACTCAGTGGCTCCTGCATAACTTTGTTCAGTGAAAATCACATGCTAAAAGGTATTAGTATTTAACATCTAATCGAACAAAATATTAGGAATATAGAGAAGCCGTCCGTGCGTCCGTACATCTGTATTTTTCAAGACGATAACTCAAACTTTGTTGGGACAGTTTTGGTTCAAACTTCATAGGCCTGTGCAGTATGAGGTTGGCACCTCTGCTTAAGAAGGAATATTTTATTGGTAAATCAATTTGAAATGGTTCGTAAAAACCTTAATCTTCAATTAGATAACTCAAACACCTGTTGGCGGATTTGGCGAGAAAAAAATTGTACCTTCGAGGTTCCGACATTTTGTATAACATATTATCTTGTATCAATCCATTTTGTACTTTGTGGAGAGCTTCTGTATGGCTCACTTTGATGGACTAAGTGGACGGCATGGTTAAAACTGCCACCTGCATTCCTCGATAGCCTCCATTGTTTGGCTCGTTTTACTTTTAAGACAACATTAATATAAATTAAAGTATTCCCATTAGTTCTATAACATTGACAAACGCAGGAGCTTTGCTTTTAGACACCAACTTCACTGTGCCTGACATCGCATTGGTTAAGAATGACCCATACCTATTCACTGTAAGAGTCAACAAAATCAATAAACAAGATGTCTCATTCTCTCACATGATCATAGTTGTATGCAAAGAAATACGAAAAATGTTGTTTCAGATACCAACTTCACTGTACCTAACACTGTCTTGATTGAAAATGACCCATACCTATTCACTGTAAGAGTCAACAAAATCAATAAACAAGATGTCTCATTCTCTCACATGATCATAGTTGTATGCAAAGAAATACGAAAAATGTTGTTTCAGATACCAACTTCACTGTACCTAACACTGTCTTGATTGAAAATGACCCATACCTATTCACTGTAAGAGTCAACAAACACGACGTCTCATTCTCTCACATGATCATAGTTGTAGTTATAAGTGCAAAGTAATACGAGAAATATTGTTTCAGATACACGCTTCACTGTACCTAACACAGCATTGACTGAGTATAGCTCATATCTGTTCACTGTGACAGTCAGCAAGGAAAAAAGAGATCCAGTTTCATTCTCCCAGATGATCATAGTTGTCCCTGCCGAGAAACCAAATATTCATGTTTTGTGAGTATCAAAACAGCAGAAAATCAGATCATTTTGAGTGCTATAATTTTCATGGGAGAGTTGATATCGAGTATGAACATTAGTAATATCTACGAGGCGATAAAATGATATCACTCAAAATGGTCCGATATTTGGTATATTGTAATCAAAAATTCACAAGAGTTCATCATACGGAGATGCGATACGGCAATACCTTTTGTACTCTATAAAGGGGGGGGGTATAGGACGGGGGGCATTGATCCGAATCCAACGTGGTCTTAATCAGATTTGTCCATTTCCCAATGGTCCGAATCACAATCATCCGAATCCCAATGGTCCGAATCACGCCTACACCGTACACACGCTTATTTTAATATCAAGATTAAGCTTCAAGAAATATGTGGACGTGATTATATAATAATATTGATTCTTTCATTTAGCCATAGTTATTCAAAATATAAAGTTAATAATTATGATCTTCTTGTTTGCACAACTATTAAGAAATATATACCAAGATGCACCCGGTATCAGTGGAATTGCTAACTGGTCTAAATTCATCAAAAGCCAGTGGACCTGATCTGATTCCTATAAGGCACGGTTTTCAACAATTATCGATTCATTCTTGAATTTACGATTCTAATGAATCGTTCATTTTGTTGATTCAGCGATTCTGAATTACGATCTGGTTACGATCGTCACAATCCAGTGATTCTGACAAATATGGAATTTAAATGATAATCACGATCGTAACAATCGTAACGATCGCGAGCTGATTCATTCATTTTGATGATTCAGTGATTTGACATGGTGGCCCACGAGCGCCTCTTGCTCAAACTTGACTACTATAGAATTCGTAATAACAACTTAAACTTGTTCAGATCCTGGCTTGTCAGAAGATCACAACAAGAAGTGCTGGACGGTGAATCTAGTTCAAAAACTCGGGTAATATCAGGAGTTCCCCAAGGAACAGTGCTTGGACCACTTTGCTTCCTTGTATATATCAATAATATGGGCAATAACCTATCATCTTCAGCCAGTCTTAAACTATTTGCTGACAGCCTTTCATTCATGACAGTCGCAAGCAAACAAGATGCTTTGATGCTACAGTAGAGTCTTGATAAACTGGTCTCCTGGGCATCATCATGGCAAATGAAACTCCATACATCAACATACTATGTGCTGAATATTCACAAAGGTAAATCTCCTATCATCATTTTACACCATGCTAGGGGAAACCCTTAAGGCGGTAACACACATCCCATACCTAGGTATTGACAACACATATTTAAAAAATTGTATCCAAAGCCAATGAAGTGCTTAGATTCCTCAGACGCAACCTCCATTAATGCCGTGAAAAAGTGAAGGCCCAGGGATACAAGTCACTAGTCCGGTGTGAAAGAAATTATGGTCCCCTGGGGATTATGGTCCCCTTTCTAAATGGCCCTTACTGGCCCTGATTGTGTATAAGATAATAAGGGAAAGAGTTATATTAAGGTCACCATATAAATCAATGGAGAGTAGGACCATAATTTGATAGGACCTCCTACCCTTTTACACCTGCCTAATTTAGAATATGCCAGTTCGGCATGGTTCCATACCGTCGAAAATACATTGATATGTTAGAACAGCTACAGAGAAGTGCAGTCAGGTCCGAACCAAATGTCACTCCATACTTCCACCAACAGATCAATACCAACACTAGGTTGTAGTACATACAACAATCAACTAGAACGAATACATACAAATTTAGCTATTTCCCTAGGACAATTGCTAAATGGAACACTCTTCCAGGTGACATCTTACATTGTTAGTACCTCAGTGTAAATACTCGCATCTGATTGGTCAATTAGCGGTCAACATTTTTGCCTGTACCTCACTTGTGCATCATGGGATATCATATTATTGACCGCGTATGTGACTGTACTACACTTGTGAATTATGGGAAATATGACGTCACAATGTTTACAGAAAAAACATGGTAGTCGGTCATTTTGTACACGTTGGTGAAAGTGATATTTTGACTTTTTACACGACGAGTATAGCAACAATACAAATAGAAACGCAAAATTAACATTAATTTACTTGCGAGTACGCAGTAATGTGCCGAAAACAGAGAGTTTAGCTTCCACTGTCTTCAGATTTTCTTAAAAATTATTGCTGGCGTGCAGGTTCGTAGAAAAGATTGTGAAATGAAGCCATGATTGATGACTGTCGTATATATGAGTATTATTAGTTTCTTCTGACTAACAAAACAATTGTAGACCTCTCCATTCGGTCAACCGTCGAAATCATATACCTCGACTGTAAACCTTGAAACACTGTTGACCTCGACCTTCGGTCTCTGTCAACAGTAGTTTCTCGGTTTACAGTCTCGGTATACAATTTTGCCGGTTGACCTCTGGAGAGGTCAACAATTGTATACTGTTACACCAATCTTCCAGGTGACATCTTAGACTGCTTCACCAATATCTCCAAAAACGACATAAATAATGAGGTATCTTAAGGAACAAATACCCCAAAATTATAGCCAAGAAACTTGATGCATATACAGGGTGATTAAAAAACGGAACCCTGCATTTTTCTTATATCTTTGTCATTTTATTCACACATTTGTACATCATTCAATTTTCTACCATCCTACCATATTTCATGAGCATCAGACTGGTAGTCACAATTTTCCAGCACTTTGAACAACATGCTTCAGATTTGGCCATTACGCGCTGTAGGCAAACCTGCACAATTGTCAATGACCCGAATGCATTTCTCGGCAGGTATGGCCTGAATGACACAATTGCCCTGAGGCCATTTTGATACACTCTATGTTTGCCATATCCCCACAGGTAGGTAAATTTTGGAAGATGTGTGCAGGTTTGCCTAAAGCGCAATATTTGCCAACGGAGCATGTTGTTTAAAGTGCTGTAACATTATTACCATCAGTCTGATGGTCATGAAATATGGTAGGCTGATCTGAAATTTAACGATGTTCAAATGTGTAAAATATCAGGGAGTTGTTCCCCAAAATGACAAAGATATGATAAAAATGATGTAAGGGTTTCCATTTTGTGACCACCCTGTATTAAAAATATTTTCATATGATTTGCTTTTAATGTTTGTACTTTAAATTTTGAAAAATACGAAATAATTTTAGACATTTCTTGACCCCTGCTAATGAGAGGCATAATTCGGCCTAAAAGCCCGCCGTATTTATAACGGCTATACAAAAATAAGACGCGGGACATATGTAGATATTATAATATAAGGTTAAATATTGCTGCGCATATATGTCACCAACTTTTTGACTCGACGTCCTGGAAAAGATGGGTATCGATATGGCGAACTTTTTGAACACACGTTTCTCTTAAACCAGTCATCAAAAAGTTCTGAAAATTTTACACATTGTCAATTTAATGACAATTGGTCATCTTTTGAATGGTAACAATACGATTTGAAAAATATATGTATACTTTCATCGATATTGTTTTAGAAAACACATCAAACACTTGTTTTGTTCTTGATATCATGTTTCCAGAGTGAAATGAAACATCTTTCCGAACATCATTGGAACAAAACGACATAAACACAACATGTTTAGGTCTCTCAATATTGTAATTGTACAAAGGAAATTTTGGTTGATTTTAAAAAAGTATCTTGTTAATGAAATAAAAGGTTTATCTTGGTTTTTATATATTTTGGGGGGATTTTGTTTTAATTTTTTGAATACTTTTTTAAAATCAACCAAAAATTCCTTTGTATAACTGTAATATTGAGAGGTCTAAAAACATGCTGTATATGCTATTTTGTTCCAACAAGGTTCGGAAAGGCATTTTATTTCATTCTCAAGAATTGGTAGAAAGGAGCAAAAACAATTGCACTAAAAAACAAAAATGTTATCAAAAACATTTATATAAAATATTTCTAAATTGTTGTCAATCAGTCAACATTACATAAATACCGTGTTTTTATTTACAGAATGTTTTCAATGATTGGTTTAAGAGAAAAACATTGTTGAATCCAGTTCTCCATATCGATACCACTCCTTTCATACCATGGACTGTTACTTTCTAGTGAGTAGTATAGGTTTACTAAATAGCTAATATTTTCCAGGTGCCTTCAGAATTGCAAGTACAAAGTGACTCCTAACAGCAAACTCTCCATGGCAGCCCATTGTACAAACTGCCGAAGACAAAGTGATCTCAGTTTTGATTGGTCCATATTTTCTCTTGATTGTGACTTCACAATGGGTAAGTAAGTAAAGGTAACCCTATAGTATTTTCTTCATCCTAGGAAATCCTAGTTCATTCTTGTCTCTGCATCCCAAAATCCTCATAAAAAAGTGTTTTGTTATTCCGTGTTGTTAGGTTAGGGGTAAACAATAAGTCTTGGTTATTACGAAAAGCAATGGCCAAGGCGCAAAGCCTACATGTACCTACACCCCCAATCCGCAATCAAATTATCAGTGTGGAGTTAGTACTAATTTAGTGTGGAATTAGCGCTAAACTGTCAGTACTGATTTAGTACCAATCGAGCTGTACAGCAGGTACAAAATTCGCACTAACTCAGCGCTAACTCAGCACTAACCTTAGTGATGACTTTGCACCGAATTAGCGTGGAATTAGTGCTAAATTTGTATGAATTTTGTACCAACTTTTAAAAATAATCGGGGATGGATTTTTGTATATTGAATTGATAAAAATGTATTAAATTGACATTTTAATTAAGATCTTGTTTTTAATTAGACCATCAAGGGAAAGGATTTTTAAGGGTTATGATATCACATGATTTTGATGTATCTTTTAGTATTAATATTATAACCAAACAAGTATCCCAGCTATAATATCATTAAAAACATAATACATTTTCTTGTTATATATAATACCAAATTATAACTTTATTCATCATATCATTTACTGGTCTTAAAGGAGTAGGTCCTATCGTATTTATTGTATATTATTTATCCTATCGTTTTATTTCCTTCAGATTGAAGATTTACCACAGTAACAGTAAATTACAAAAGATTCACTATTTACACAATGTACAAAAACTGTCGTTCTGTATATAAATGATGATGACCCTAACTCCAAATAACATACAACTGGTACTGTAGATTGGGTTAATTTGGCGCCCGCTTTAATTTGGCGAATTTGGCGAAATTGAAAAATTCGCCAATATAAATCTTCGCCAAAATTTAGAATGAATCCCCGGGAATTATCTAGGGTATTTCGTCCAGTGTATTCAGGTCACTTCCGGTTAAGTTTTTTTCCAAAAATATGAAAAAACGTCTCTCATAAATTGGCTTAGAACTGGTCAGTCACTCATTAATACTCAGGGAAAAGGTGATGTATAGTAGCAGCATCGATCGAGGTGCAAAATGTAAAGGATGATCTCACAAAAATGTACAGACGTGGTGAATATCGCCAGTGGTCCTCAACTTTTGAGGACTTTTAAAAAATGAACATAGCCAAACATGCCCATTTACATAGTAATTCGCTAACAGCGCGCAAGTATAACATTGTATTAATTTTTTTTTTGCATATCCGCCAAATTAAATAGCCGCCAATATGCCAAAAATGGCAAAATCGCCAAATTAAGTAGCGCCAAATTAACCCAATCTACAGTAAATGTCACTGCCTTTACAAGGGTATCAGTTCAAAGGTGTAGGGGTGTGTTTAGTCCATAATTGTTTTTGTCATTCCTTAATCATTTGTTAATGCTAACACCCTGTCATTGTGCCTTCTTATTCGCCAATTTGGTTCCCCTGATGTAAAATCGTTATACCTGAAATGATAAAAAAGAAACGCTAATTTGAGGCTACATCACATTTGCATTAAACATGCATATTCATAAGTTAAACCAATTAATCCATGATCATGATTGCAGCTTACTAAGTACATATATGTATATTTTCTATGTATAACATTTACATTTCCTAAATAGTGGTGATGCAATATTATTAAGGATCCAATTTATGAGACATCAAGAGAACATGCTGTCATTGTTTAGTATCTATAGGTATAAGGCTATCTGAATTAATTCTGAATTAATCAATTAGGCTAATTTGATAAATCAATACATACCTCGTGAAAGCTGTTTATAGTTTAACCATCCTTTTGGGTTTTTGCTCCACCCCCACAAGCTTTTTGTTGTTATAACTGATAACAGTTACCTGAAAATATAGTTTTCTATGAATATTCGCAGATTTGCTTACCGTAATAGTTAATGTAAATTAAAATTCGAAATAATATCTTTGAACAAAGAATTCAGTTTGCATACACAAATTGTTTCCAATATTTTTACAGGGCCAAAATATAATGCTAGATTATTTTGTCATAGTTAGGGTTGACGTATTTACAATTTTATTATAGCCCTGTGAGGAAGCATAGGCTATTAACATGTTTAATTGGTGATATGACATGAGGGGATGAATAAGGTTATGAACATGGTAGCATGATGAAATGAATGGTGATATAACATTGGGGCATGATGATATAAAACAAACATGGTGATATAACATGGGAGCAGGTAATATGAAATGAACATGGTGATATAACATGGGAACATGTTGATATGAAATGAACATGGTGATATAACATGGGAGCATGGTGATATGAAATGAACACGGTGATATAACATGGGAGCATGGTGATATGACATGGACATGGTGATGTAACATGGGAACATGGTGATACATGTGATATGAAATGAACATGGTGATATAACATGGGAGCATGGTGATATGAAATGAACATGGTGATATAACATGGGAGCATGGTGATATGATATGAACATGGTGATATAACATGGGAGCATGGTGATATAACATGGGAGCATGGTGATATGACATGGACATGGTGATGTAACATGGAAACATGGTGATATGAAATGAACATGGTGATATAACATGGGAACATGGTGATATGAAATGAACATGGTAATATGACATGGGGGCACGATTCCAACGATACGCTGAATAAGCAAAATAAATTAGGCTATTATTAGATTTCCTAAAACTGTTAAAACGTTTACTTTACGCACCTAGCCTAAATGGCATAAGTATGTTGCATTCCCGGTTGCATTCCACATTGCTGATACATGGCCCTCCATCCATTGATTATGTATTGTATTCTTTACTGCCTTCACTCCTCATGATATGCCAACATCTGACCAATAGTGCCAACATCAAGTCTATAAAATAAAAAGGTAGCCTAGAAATGCATTCCCGACAAAAGAATAAAAAATTGAATTTAAAACTGAAATCACTCAGAAATTACATTTTGGCCAGGATTGGCCCATTTCTGGCTTCATTCAGAAGACGTTATGCATTGCAGATTATAAATATATTTTCTTAAAAACTCCAAAGAACTAGCCTATGCCCTGGACTTTTAAGACAAGACTTTCAGTGACTTTTCAATTTGAATTTTTTTTTTCAATTCCTCCTGAATTTTTATCTTTGAATTTCACCCTAGCCTATCCCACAGAGCCTATCTGGTATTTGAAAGTCTTCTATATAATAGGTGCACCTATTATATGCTCATTTATTCATACAAAACAATCAAATATATACTTACAAGTGAAAATTGCAGACAGATGGCAGAGACTGGCACAGAAATCAAAATTTAAAATATGTGGCTTCTCAAACTTCCTGTATGAGTCATAGAATGTGTGACGTCATAGGTCAAAAGTTCAAAGGGATTTCCCAGGGATTTCCCTAAGATGTCAAACTCAATTGAAGAAATCACAATAATGAATGTTATTTATAATAAAATATTTCAAACTCTAAATAAGTAATATCAATATTGCTTAAATCAATCAATAATACTGTAATAAAAGTCAGAAAAAATATAAGTTTTGTTAGTGCTAAATCAGCACTAACTTAGCACTAAATTAGCACTGCTAAGTTAGTGCTGATTTCGCACTAACTGAGGTTTGTACTGATTTGGTACTGATTTATTAGCGCTAATTCCACACAAACTTTATTTGTACCAATTCAGTACCAAATCAGCGCTAAATTAGCGCGAAAAAAGATTAGCGCTGATTTAGCATGGAGTTATTTTGGCAGTGTACGACCCGGGAAGAAATGTTTATCTTATTTAAATCACACAATGGGCACAAACACTTACATGATAGAAAGTTAAATGGCCAAAGATCCAATTTTAGGTAAAATCCATTTCTTTTGTATAACTGAGGTAAGCTTAATGAGAAGTGAGAGGGAGGATGTCAATTAGTTCAGCTTAGTGCAATTGCATTTTACATGGCATGTACCGTTTAAAATTTGATTTCGTAAGTGTTTACTATTCAACTATTAAAACAGTGACTAGGGTATGATTAGTTCAGCTTTAGTGCACTGAATGTGACAGTCAATCGTCTTTTGTGCCACACTGGTTTTGGCTAGCTAAGTGTATATTCTTTAAAAACAATTGAAAAATAATACACTGCTCTTTATTATAACTGTATATTCTACAGTCAATTCTGTTGTGTTGCTACTTAAGTGTGGTTTAAGTTCATAAACATATACTTTCATGCAATTCGATCAGAACTTTCGGGTTATAAGACCACAAGAAAACTGCGAAATAACACCAGGATATATTATAATCCGAATACCATTTAAACAAATGCATATTGAGAAAGTACTACATAACTCATACGTTGCTTATATGAACTACGTATAAATGAGATAAATTAACAAAAAAATAAGTTTCTTTCAAACTGGACGACAATGAGCTTAACAGGACAATATAATCAAACTGTGAGCCTCAGGACAAACACCTTGCGCAACATTATGACAAATGTTGTTTTCTTTCAGACTGGGCGACCATGAGCTTAACGGGACAATATGATAAAGCTGTGAGCCCCAGGTCAAACACCTTGCACAACATAATGACAAATGCTGTTTTCTTTCAGACTGGGCGACCATGAGCTTAACGGGACAGTATAATCAACCTGTGGGCCCCAGGTCAAACACCTTGCACAACATAATGAAAACTGTTGTACATGTTTTCTTTCAGATTGGGCGACAATGAGCTTGACGGGACAATATAATCAAGCTGTGAGCATCGGGTCAATCACCTTGCACAACATAATGAAAACTGTTTTCTTTCAGATTGGGCGACAATGAGGTTGACGGGACAATATAATCAAGCTGTTAGTCTCAGATCAAACACCTTGCACAACATTATGACAAATGCTTATTTCTTTCAGATTGGGCGTTAATGAGGTTAACAGGACAGTATTATCAAGCTGTGAGCCTTAGATCAATCACCTTGCACAACAGTATGACACAAATGCTGTTTTCTTTCAGACTGGGCGACCATGAGCTTAACAGGACAATATAATCAAGCTGTGAGCATCAGGTCAAGCACCTTGCACAACATAATGACAAATGCTGTTTTCTTTCAGACTGGGCGACCATGAGCTTAACGGGACAATATAATCAAGCTGTGAGCATCAGGTCAAGCACCTTGCACAACATAATGACAAATGCTGTTTTCTTTCAGACTGGGCGACCATGAGCTTAACGGGACAATATAATCAAGCTGTGAGCATCAGGTCAAGCACCTTGCACAACATAATGACAAATGCTGTTTTCTTTCAGACTGGGCGACCATGAGCTTAACGGGACAATATAATCAAGCTGTTAGCATCAGGTCAAACACCTTGCCTGAAGGATGTAGCTTTATAATCATTGTTACTGGTACTGTAAAAAGAGACTGTTTACTTATTTTCACAGAAATTATGATAATAGATTAAACCATTACAACAGTTACTTTCAGTGAGCTTATTCCGGCCCTTGGTAAGATATTTATGTTACACACAGAATATACCCTATAAAACTACCCGTAACATTATTCATGTAACTTAATTTCAAATGATGTTTTGTGTGAGATAGGTAATACCTCAGTCTTGTTAACATATTTGTACAACGAGCATAATGTGCCGAACTAACACCAAGTCAGGGATGGTATCTCTACACATCCATCACTAAACATTTTTGATTACATCTGTGTACAACAGGAGGGTGGCATTTCGTTACTATGGAATCTCTTTACATACAGTTGTAATTCAAACAATACTAATCCCTCATAAATTGATGTAGGTGTCAAAAAAATTGGATACATGGATTCCGGATTTGCTACATTGGAGTTTACAACTAATACGCCGCCTATAGCTCCATATAGGTCTTGTACAGTGTCTCCACCTATAGGAGTTACTCTCGTGGATGAGTTTGACATTTACTGCGATAATTTTCAAGATAATGATGACCCATTAACCTATGAGTTTTACTTTGTGACAGGGTCAAACTCAACAGGTAGGTTTAAATCACTAAGTTCTACTTTGCTCAGTGTTCATTTTTAATTTGTTCAAATTATGATTTTTAGCTCAGTGTTAATATATGGATATTTGTTCTTTGTTTCCTAGGGTCGAAGACGTGTTTTGATTAATTCCTCACCTTTTTAGGAGCATTGCTGGCTAATACATATAAGTCAGAGTTGTTAGGGGTACAGCTAGGCCCTGGAGATAGTGAACTAAACTATACAGTGGAGATACATATATTAGCAACAGATTATTTCCAAGCTACAACTATCGAGGTTGTTAAATTGCAGGTATTAATAAAGAATTATATATAGGCCTCATCCAAGTAACAACTTTTTTAATCCCTCAACTGCACATGTACTGTTTATGTAAAGCCTTCGTAAACTCTTGTTGGTTTTTCATGTAACCTACAACCTACACCCGTTCTCCCGATCAAACACAAAATATTAAACGCATACTAGCCGGAATCGGGTTATGATGAATAACAATGGCTTTTTAGGTGTACCCTTCCCATATGAAGTTAATAGTTCACCCAGGAGCAACAAATGATACAGGTGAAATAATGAACATGTTGGAAAACCTTACTATGACAACAACCAACCAAGAAAGCAAATTAGACAGCATGTTAGGTTCTGGGAACATTCAAGGTACTTTTGTGTTTTATTTGTATTCTTTATTTATTTTTTAGATACGTTAATAATGTCTGTTAATAATGACTAAATGTATATTAATTCGGATGTATAACAGCTAACATAACTACAGGGTGGTCCAAAAAATGGAACATTTGATGATTGAAGTCATAATCGTTATTTTTTCTCTAAAATGCACCAAAGTTTTACTGAGTATTGTTCAATCACTTATTTATCTGATGTAAAGTTTATAGGGGCAAACAACAAAGTTAATGCATTAGACTAGAGAATGTTTGATATGACCCCTTTTCTCGTGAATTACAAGACGTTAACGTCTGGTACTCAGTTTTGAAATGATTCATTCACTTTGCTGTTCGTTTGATTTTGTCTGAGCCATCTTGATTAAAAAATTCAGCTTGAACAAACTACTTTAATGTTAGCCTTGGAAGATCAAATATATGAACATATTCAACATTTTTTTACCCAAATTGATGGGTATCAAGCATATTTTGATAGCTATTGTTGGATATATTACTGGCTGAATATTCTCCAGAAAGAGGCCATGGCGGTCTGTTTTGACTGGTAAATGACCCCCCCCCCCTTTCTTGTTCTGATATGAATAATATTCATTGAATATATCAATATATGTTTATCAATATCATAAATAGGAGTTTCCCAGAATACAAATGATATGTTATATTAAATGTGCTTAGAGGTGGTCTTTAATAAAGCCTTGCAAATAACTGGTCAGTTTCCCCTCTACTGAAAAGTTGAAACAATGATTTTGTCAGTTTAGTAGCTGTATAGGTTATGCAATCACTCACCTCTGACATGTTCTTTCTTTCCTACTCTTAAATAAAAATAATGATTTGGGGTATTCTTAAGTTGACAATAACACAATAGTTTTCCAGTAAAACATAGATGTTAATACCTCGTGTCAACTAGATATGATTTTATAAAATGTGTATATGATATGATATGATAGAAATTGACAAGTGTATATTTAAGAAAAGGGGGTCATATCAAACATTGACTAGTTTAATGCATTGACTTTGTGGGTTGCACCTATACACTTTACATCAGAGAGATAAGAGCTGGACTATGCCCAGTAAAATTGTGGTGCATTTTAGAGGAAGAATAAAGGTTTTGTGTTCAATTAACAAATGTTCCAATTTTTTTGGACCACCCTGTATATTTATTTTAAGGCTTATTTTTTAATGTTATTAATGACCTTATATGGGTCAATGACTCATACGAGTACTGGGGTCTATTTCACAGACTCGAATCCCCACATTGAATGGATGCTATCACTTTTGAAATAAGGATGATACGGATCCCGTTTTATCATATCTTAGAGAATTGTGTCAGAGCATTGGAGCTGAACTGATCAAAATATATCTTTGAAACAGGAACTGGTGGCAAATAGTTTGTCGTAAGATGTCCATGCTGCAAACTTGGGTCAAGAACTGTGTGATCGTATATTACTATAGCTTTCCATGCGTTTTCTGGTTCAGATTCCATCAGACCCTTTCTGAACAAAGGAAAAATAATTCTACTGAAACAGATGAAGTAATTCTTAAAGTTGTTTTCTTCAAAAAGAAACAATATAGACATAGCTGACACTATTAAAAACAAGGTTAAACCACCTTCACTTATGAAGGTGTTGAAATTTGAACTCTTCCAGCTTGTAAAAATTGTTTACCACAACATTTGAAGAAGGTGAATTACGAGGCATGCTTACATGGAAACATTACTACCCCCGGGATCCTACCAAGCAAAGCATGTACATTGCATGAATGGACTGGTGAATCCTTAACTCCAGAATTGTCAAAAGAATTCCTCCTTCAAATAGAAGTTGTTGATATTTTGCATAATTCGTCCATAATCGTCGATATTCTTATAAACAGTCTTCTATACGTAAGCACACCACACTTATGGACGTATAGAGCTGCGCACTATATGATGACGTAATGAAACGATTTATAAGTTATGTGTTATGTGAATGACAAACATGCTATAAGTGAGTTGCGACATCTGTATATCATATGGTTTATATCTAAGTTAATGGGATACGTTAGAAACAGATTTTGAATATATGTATTGGTGCACTCATTTTTACTGAAACGTGTTGTCTTTTGTATTTAAATCTATAAATAGATCGTCATGTTTATATGTTTATATAACAACGTTGTTATTTCAGCTGCCAGTCAATTGGTATTCACGGTGTCCACCATATTAAACATGGAGTCAAAAGAAAAGACCACGTATGCAAATACTACTTACAATGAAACAATTGCCAAGTTGGAGCAAAGAAGCCTGGTAGGAATATTATATTAGGATTAATTTTGATTTAAAACTACAGTTTTAAGTAGTCTTGACATTTCTTAGCTGCAGACAGAACATTTTTACATCTACCATGCACTTTTCATTCAAAAAATCACTTGCACAAGCTCATTTTGTTAGTTTGAAACCATAGAATGATAAGCAACTAATATAATTTAAAAGTAGTGATGCATGTTAACCCAAAAATTGAATAATGCATAAATTGATCTTTAAGATACGTAATTCCATTGTGACATCACTGGCTAACACTGGCGTAGATGATCTAACCGTTTTGAAACAGAAAGCATGGGCCATGCAGAGCATCACAGTTGAGAGTGAAGAACTTGCACCCACTACAAAGGTAATATATAATAAACAGTGCATTTCAACATGTTATATATTTCAAATGGCATAGCATGTAGTAAAAGATCCTATCATTCTGCTTTGATGTATACGGTTTAAAATTTGCCCTATTATTAGCGCTTCAAACTTAAATTCAACGTCCATTTAAAAAGTTGTTTGATCTTGTCAATGATATGCTTATGGACTTCGAGATTTAGTACCAACAAAAAGTTGCAATAAAAAGCAGGCCCAATGTCCTATTTAAGGATATACCAGTGTAACCCTTACGACAATGGTTATATATTTTTAAATTACAGAAATAGAAAATTAACACCTCTATGAAAAGCTCGTTTGTTAACTTCACGTTTGACGAGTGTTCTGTATTAAATATCAAGGACGCAGAATGACGATATATGACGCTTTACGACATAGTAATCCATAGCAACTAAAAGATTCTCATTTTCAATGTTGTTTTATCATGACGTCATATAACAATTTTGTTAATGGGTTCTCGGAATATGATACCATTATCTGTGACGTCAGTGACATATTGCCCCATCAACAAATAAACAAACAAATGAACTATACGTCATCAATTCTTCCAAATAATTCAGTAATTTTTGTATATTCTTGTTTCATTCCAGTTTCGTGTCTGTTTCTTTCGTTTATCCCAGCAGTACCGTGTATATGTGTATATGCCCATGTATTACAAACACGACAAATCTAATTTGTAACTTGCTTCTTATTTCGCTACAGTCTGTATGAGTTTTCATTAAGTTATAGTCTATAGCCTATGTATTGACCAGGGGTATTTAATATCAAAAGGCAACTGTAAAATACAGTATTTTATTTTAGAATTTCTATAATTCATGTATACACTTATTACATGAACCACGGACACTTAAAGTCCGTGCATATTGAACATTCAGTTTATATGTATTTCTATTGAAATCATTACCTTGTTTCGTTTTTCCTTTCTGTCAAAACAAATAGCATCAAACATGTCAAACAAGCCATTCCAACCTTTGTTCAATTTATGTTATTATTCTATATTTTTTATAATTATAGTTACCAGTTAAAAATATTTTCCCAGTGAGTATTAACGACCATGATCGGACATGCCGGATACAATGCGAAAAACGTCCATAGCCGTTCACAAAAACACATTATTCGTGTATATGTACTACATTCAGTAGACGTATCTTGCTCAAATCCGACAGCTTTACATAAATGGGGACTTCGGGGTGAGGAATGCACAGGGAATGTACAACCCCACCCGAAAATCATCAAAAAGCACGCATGCTATATATCACGAGTGAAATCATTCATGCCTGATCTGTGAGGTTATACTTGTGAAGGCAGTTCATTAAGACAGGACATGTTGAGTTTTCAAAATTGTTAACCTCAAATGTAACGTTATTCTTTCCCGAAAAATGAACAGAAATATTAGCGTATTAGAATAGGAGTCAAATATGGCTATTATTTGCCATTTTAAATCATCGTTTATTGAATGAATGTCTTACTGGGGCATCAATTTATTCATAATTTATAATATTTTGAAATTATGTTTATCATGTGGACTTAGCTAGTTTATGTTTTTGCGAGCAGTCGATTTTGTTAATTCTTGAGAAAGACGTCATATATTTTGTTAAATAATGACGCGAATTGACCAGTGGCTTTTGTATCATTGTTAAAACACACCAATCTTCAACGGCATTTTCAAGCGTAAAACAGACCGTTGACCCTATGTTTTTTTTATATCAAAATAAACATGAGAACAACTTTTCAGAATAAGCAAATAAAAAAAAATACCACAATCCATTGGAAATTTGCGTAATTTTCGATTCAAAACGTGTCAAAATGCGAAAATGAAAAAGATATATTTTTAATGGAAAAACGTTATAAAAATTCACAAATATTGTTGGGGTAGGGGTAACACTTCAAGTGAAAAAAGTAAGAAAAAATGTCCTGTGTGTACCAATATTCGAACCAATGTAATTATGTATAAAGGAAGTTTATCCAGGCTCGAAAAAAATCGTCAATACTCCCTAAATCATCATTTTATCGACGAAATATAGGAAAATATGTTTTTTTGCTTTGGAATCAATGGCGCCTCAAATGTTCAAATGATGATAACGTCACACCTATTTTCAGAAGCTTCTCATGAAAAAACTAATCCGTTGACCAACCTTTTTTATTACATTTTTCGAATCGCTACATCTAGGTCTTTAATATAAACCTAGTTTCGTTGAGATTGAAAATGGTCGATTTTTTCGGAGGTTACACTGGTATATCCTTAAGAACCCCTTAGTTTTGAAAATGGTTTCAATAAAATCCAACATGAATCTACGGATTTCAGCAAGGGTGCATCGCCTTAGCATTGGGACATAAACCATTGACCAATGACTGAGCATCGGAATAACATCATGTTTCTCAGTATGTTATGTCAATGTACCCGGCCTTGCTTAAAATCCTCATTTTCTCTATTAGGGTGACCAGAAAGTACTAAATCAAACTAATTACACAATTTTTCTGCCCGAAGGCTAAATCAAACAATGACACATTCGAAAATTGCTATAACGGTCAGGATACCAAGTATTATCAATAAAAGCTTATACAATCAACAAAAATCGGAAACAAGTACTATAGATTTGCTTTCCGATACTAAACTGATTGACCTAGATAATAGCGACATGTCTTCTCTGGTCAACTGTTCAGTCATTTGTGGGTTTTCAAAGTAACTCTATTATGCATCTATTAAGATGAGTACTTTTATTCAATTGTTGCATCGATGTTGCAGTTTGTGTAAGGATTGAATGAAAGGGTGGAAAGTCGAATAAAATTGTTTTTCCAACATGGCGACTAGTCAACTAATCACATCACATCTTCTTCCGGAATATATCCCCTCTTTTCACACGTTGTTTTTAAAACGTTTTGAGCCAATATAATGATAAAAATATCTGATATATTAAGTTTAAAATAAGAGACCAATCGTCTATGATACTTTTTGTCCAATTAGACTGAGATAAATTCAAAAATGAGTAGAATGTTTTAAGTTAGTCATGCTGCACAAATAGGTTTATGTGTTTCTTTTCTTTACAAAAAAATAATAATAATTGTATCATGTGTCCATATAAGGAAATACTTCGGTGCCTCTTCATTTGAAGAGCGAACCGCGAAGAGGAGAATTAGATTCACGTTGGATAGTATTGCTAGATTCCATTTTCAATAAGCGTTAGGGCTCTTAAAAAGGACATTAAAGCCTTTTTGAAATTTTTGTTTGGTACTATAATTGGATTTTGACCGTCCCACATCATTTGAGACTAAATGCTCTATCTGGTATGATTTATGAGTATTCATCTTGTATCTCATGTATCTACAAATATTGTTGATGTTTTGAGTATTGACCACTAACTTGACATTTATTCTTCAACATGCATTGTAATAACTTCAATATGAATGGAATAATTCCTTGGTGTTGTCTCGGATGGTGATATTGGTGAGGTAGGGGTATAAGACACTTTTTTTCACAATTGATTGTGATTTGATATAATTGGGGCTCAATTTCTCATGACAAATGTACACCGTCCAGGGGTGTAGTCAGCTTTCGGTCAGGGGAGGGGGTGCGATTGCCAAAAAATACACACCTGATCTTGATGTGCGAGCACTGATCTCTGTGCGTGAGTGGAGAAATATGTTCAGGAGCGAGGAAATGGTAGTGAGCGACTTAAGATTTTACGTTCGAGTGCAAGGAATGTAGTTCGCGAGGTCAGAACTGATGTTCGCGTTGATGATAGTCTAGGAGGCCTAATTATCCCATCGAACGAAGTTCGGAGGGATATAGGGAACGCCTTCGTCCGTATCTACGTCCGTCCGTCCGGGCAATAACTCAAATACCGTTAGCCCAATTTTGTTCATATTTTGTACACATATACCCTATGGGGGTAGAAGTTCTGCTCGAAAGCCGATTTTCAAAATGGCCGCTCATTAAAAAATGGCGGCCATTTTAGTGCCGATTTTACAGTAATTTAGGTGCAATATGTAAAACTGTAATAGCAATATGTTTCAAATGTAAAAAAATTATATAGGACATAAATAAAGCTAGAAATGTAGATATTAAAGAAGCACATGGCCGCCATTTTGAAAAATGGCGGCCTTTACTCGTTATTTTAACGTATTTTACTATAACTCGAAAAGTAGTGGAGCGATTTTGTTCATATTTGGTATGTGAATACTATAAGCATGGCACACTGTCTAATGACACTTTTGGTAGAACTTTTGGTAGAACTTTTGAAAAATGGCCGCCATTTTAACGTATTTTACTATAACTCGAAAAGTAGTGGAGCGATTTTGTTCATATTTGGTATGTGAATACTATAAGCATGGAACACTGTCTAATGACACTATTGGAAGAATGTGGCCATTTTGAAAAATGGCCGCCATTTTAACGTATTTTACTATAACTCGAAAAGTAGTGGAGCGATTTTGTTCATATTTGGTATGTGAATACTATAAGCATGGCACACTGTCTAATGACACTTTTGGTAGAAGGCGGTTATTTTGAAAAATGGCCGCCGTTTTTTCTATATACTTTGTTTGTAAATATGCCAGCCATGGCTGTTCGATGGGATTCGCTACGCTTTGGCGTTGCCGTTGTTCTGGTTTTGTTTACCACCAAGGAAGGTGAGCAATACCTCTTGAAGGAGCCCTGTGCTCTTTATGTGCACGCATACATGACCACAGCCTTTTTATGAGATGTGCCCACTCAGTCAAACACTCTGAAGTACTTTGCGCAACAAGCAAAATACCTAAATTGGGGATCGAATCTCGGACTTATGCATAATTGGTACATGTGCTTTACCACTGAGCTACAGTAAACGGTTGGTCTAAATAATCATTTTTGATGTTTTCCTGTTGGCACCTCCACTTACATATTTAAGCTGTATATTGTACTCACTTTATTTATTCATTTATTTATCCAGTCCACAGCCTCGCATGTATTTGAAGACATGAGTAGGACATTCATGTCCAAGATGGAGGATGAAGCAGATGCCACCTCTGAGGTCATTGAAGTCATCGCAAGGTAGAATATTGACATCGATTACCTTTACATATTTTTGTTCAGCTGTTGTCTTGGTGAGACAACTGTCTCCACACCGAATCATGCTCTGCACAAACATGGATGTTGACCCTTTGAAACGCCTATGGACTTGGAGACTGGATTTTATCTATCCCACATCATTTGAGACCGAATGCTCCATCTTGTATGAGTACTTGTATCTACAACTATTTTTGATGTTATGGGTATTGGCTATCAATTTCAAATTTTTCTTCAAGATGTATTGTAATGACTTCAGTATGAATGAAATTTCCCTTGGTGTTTTGGTCTCGGATTGTGATATCGGTTCTTGAATGGTGGGGGAAAGGAGGTATTAGACACTGTTTCTTTTCACGATAGATCATGGCTTTGGGATATATGGGGTTTGTATTTCTTGACTGGTATGCACTTAGAGTTTTCTTGCTAAGTTCCATAACAACTTTTGGTCCTTTCCCTTTGGCACTCGTGCTTAGATATTTATACAATATATTGTAACTTGGCCAAATGTGTTCATCGGTTGGGTAATACTAATAAAGTGGTTTAATTTCCTTAAGTCACGAACCTATTATCCATCTATCTTGCGAGCTTTCGCTAGATGCTGCTGCCTTTTTCAAGTTATTGTTCTACTTGCGGGAACTGGGATGACCCTTGACCTGTTTTTGACTTTTACCCCGGTGTACTTCAAATAGCCCCAGAGAAAGCTTGGAACCTGAGTCCCGATTCAGTTCTTGCTTACTAGTATGAATGTGAAGAGCTTCCTTTACTTTACGTAAAGTTACAAAAATTACCATGAAATTACATGAATTTTTGACCAAAACCATTACGGTATATGTTGTTTCAGTGACACTCTCTTACTTCCAAAATTAAGTCAATAGCAACTGGGGAAATATATACCCGATCTTGTCATCATACTCAGGTTTATACGAGAGTTCTCCAGTCTTTTTTTCTTGGAAAGACCTGGTATTGAGAAAACATACATCGGTTACATATATTTTAAAGCACATACAATAAGGGTCTAAAATATCAGTACGTTATAGACTGAAAAGGCATTACCTATCATGTATGAACTATGTGTTATGTTGTAGTCTTCTCATCTCTGGAGCCAGTAATGTAATGCATGCTTCTTTGGAGACCTTGCAACATACATCTGATAAGTATAAGAGCACTAAACCACAACTGAAGGACACAAGGACCCATGACCAGGTCACTAGTCAGGTTTGTCAATTGGCAAATATCTTCGTACTGGAGAAACTGGAAATATTATAGTGTTTGTTTCTATAATATAGCAGGCATTAGGAATTCAAATAGATTACAGCTAGTTGTTTGCAATTATAATTAACGAAAAGTTAAATTCATTATGTGATTGAATCTAAAGCACAACAAAACACCTGACACACGTGAACAATCTTTTAGTTAAAATACTGGGTGTTCAAAAAAAACGCAACCCAAAGAAATAGCTATATCTTGAAAATACTTGTTCAATTATGTTTATTTTTTCAGGAAAGAAAGAAGAGACTGTGTATGTATAGCTCCTGTATTTGGTTGGTTGTAAAAAATGATGCATTGGACTCCTGCTCAAAAGACAGTTATACTAGGAAAATACAAAAAACCCAGTCAGGGCTGACTGCAACCGCAAAAAGACTAAATAACTTCTTAGCCATAGTGTTTTGGCTCTTCAAATTTGGCACAAATCATCTTCATTCACTGTATGGTAAATCTCTAAAGTGAAATTAAAATCACTTCAGGGACTTTACAGTTATGGTCAAAATGCTTTCAAATCTCAGTCAAACGCCCTGGTTCAGGTAGACTTCAGATGGCATTTTGACCATAACTGTAAAGTCCCTGAAGTGATTTTGATGAAACTCCACAAATTCACCACACATTGAATAAGGATAATTTGTGCCAAGTGCAAAAACACTATGGTTAGAAAGTTGTGAGGTTTTATTGCTGGGGCAGTCACCTCTGACTGCCTTTTTCGTATTTTCCTAGAACAACTGTCTTTTGGGCAGTTGTCCAATGCATCATGTTTTACAACTTACGAACAACAGGAGCTATACATACACAATATCTGAATATCTACATAACTGAATCAGTATTTTCCAAGATATAGTGATTTCCCATTCGCGTTTTTCGTATTTTCCATGCACTGCTGCCTTTTGAGCAGGTGTACAATTCATCATGTTTTACAACTAACTAACAACAGGAGCTATACATACACAGTCTTTTCTTTCTTTCCTGAAAATATGAACAAAATTGGATAAGAATTTTCCAAGATATAGCGATTTCTTTGGGTTGCGTTTTTTTTAACACCCTGTATAACATACCTGCATGTGGCCCGTATTGCTAAAATAAATAGGCCTTATAGTTGCCTGTCCCTTGTACTTTCATTTTAGGTCAAGGAGATCACATATGCAACAATGAATGTTTTAAAAGATGTGTCTGATGCTGTCCTGAAGAACAAGGTAGTCGGGGAAGAACCGACTGTTATACAGACAGAGACCCTTTCTATGACTGTAATGCAGAGTCAGCCAGAGTCTTTAGGTGAGTACAACACAAGTACAAGGTAATTGGAGAAGAACCAACTGTTATTAAGACAGAGGCCCTTTCTATGACTGTAATGCAGAGTCAGCCAGAGTCTTTAGGTGAGTACAACACAAGAACAAGGTAATTGGAGAAGAACCAACTGTTATAAAGACAGAGGCCCTTTCTATGACTGTAATGCAGAGTCAGCCAGAGTCTTTTGGTAAGTACAACACAAGTACAAGGTAGTTGGAGAAAAACTGACTGTTATTCAGACAGAGGCTCTCTCTATGACTGTTATGCAATGTCAGCGAGAGTCTTTAGGTGAGTATGATCACAAGAACAATGTATTTGGAGGGGAACCAACTGTAATACAGACGGAGGCCCTTTCTGAGTTTGTAATGCAGATTCAACATTTCACGGTCATTTGGTGACAGACAATTCTTCTCAATTTGACTTCATTCTACACAAAACTAAAAAAAACTCTGATTTGAGTCATTTTTCAAATTGATTTTTTTTAATATGATAAGTAGCTTAAGTTTGAAAATATTGATGTTGGAAGATTGTTGATAGATTGCTGTTGATAGATTTAAAAAAACATAAAAAGTCATATTAAGCATAAAGTTAACAAAAACATATTAATGTTGTTACTAATGCACTGAAGGTTTAAAGGATTCAAGTACATGTAGTGTATTTTACATTCATTTTTAAAGGCGATCATGATTTTTCAATTGGCTCGACACTAGATGGCGCCACCCCTGCATCAGTGCTACTTCCAAGTGCACATGCACTTAAATTGGTACAGAATGACACAACAGACAGTGCAGATATCTTTGATGATGTGTATAAGCTGTATGTAAGTATGCCTATCCAACAAATAAAATATGTTCTGGATAAATTGTAACAGAAAGTTAAACCTACATTTACTTTTCGTATATATTTGTTGGAAGATTGTTGGTCATCAATTATTCAACAAATAATTAAACAATGTTTTAATGGACTTGTCCGGTAAATATGCATTACTTAATATAGAATTTAACGATTGTAAATGTACCAGACGAAAAAGAATCCCTAGCCCTAAAACTGCCACTTCAGTGTATTGCTTATTTTAGGTACAGTTTTTGGTACACGCATACTACGTATATCTGCATATTGGCTGACATAGTCATGAAAGATGCATTTCTAATATAAATTTTATTGTAGATCTACCATATGAAAGAGAATCCATATACCTGGCACTCCAGTGCAGACAGTGTGACCACTGACTTGATGGGAATTGTTTTGAGGAATTCTCAAGGGCATGAACTGAACATTGAGAATCTTTCAGAGAATTTAACAATATCCCTTCCAACAAAAGGTATTTTATAGCATAAACATCCCAAATATGTAGATCTGTGCAATGCAAAAGGCAAAGGACCAAACGTTGTAATGAAACCTAGCAAGAAAAAGCAGACTCTAAGTGTACACCATATGGTGAACTGAATTCAACAATGTTTCTCTCACCAATTATTGAAAGCATTCTGTAAAAAACACGGTCCTTTATGTAATGTTGACTGATTGGCAACAATTTAATGCAAAAATTGTATATAACTGTTTTTGTTAACATTTTTTGCTTTTTAGTGCAATTGTTTTTTGTTCCTTTCTACCAATTCTTGAGAATGGAATAAAATATTTTTCCGAACCTTGTTGGAACAAAATAGCATTTGGTTTAATTAACAGAATAATATGTAAAACACTTAAAACAAAACCCCCTCAAAATAGATAAAAATTAAGATAAACCTTTTATTTCAATAACAAGATACTTTATTAAAATCAACCAAACTTTCCTTTGTACAATTACAATATTGAGAGACTAAAACACGTTGTGTTTATGTCGTTTTGTTCCATTGAGGTTCGGATAGATGTTTCATTTCATTCTGAACATATGATACCAAGAACGAAAGAAGTGTCTGATGTGTTTTCTAAAACAATATAGAGAAAAGTACATATATATAATTCAAATTATAATGTTACCATCCAAAAGATGACCATTAAATTGACGATGTGTAAATTTTTCAGAATGTTTTGGTGACTGGTTTAAGAGAAACGCGTGTTCAAACAAAAAGTTCACCATATCAATACCACTCCTTTACCCGAGATACGGTATAACTCAAAGGAGTGGTATCGATATGGAGAACTGAATTCAACAATGTTTTCTCTTAAACCAATCATTGAAAACATTCTGTAAAAAACACGGTATTTTATGTAATGTTGACTGATTGACAACAATTTAATGCGAAAATTATTTAGAAATATTTTATATAACTGTTTTTGTTAACATTTTTTGTTTTTCTAGTGCAATTGTTTTTGCTCCTTTCTACCAATTCTTGAGAATGAAATAAAATATCTTTCCGAACCTTGTTGGACCAAAATAGCATATACAACATGATTTTAGACCTCTCAATATGAATTTTTGGTTGATTTTAAAAAGCATTCAAAAAGTTAAAACAAAATCCCCCCAAAATAGATAAAAATCAAGATAAACCTTTTATTTCATTAACAAGATACTTTTTTCAAATCAACCAAAATTTCCTTTGTACAATTACAATATTGAGAGACCTAAACATGTTGTGTTTATGTCGTTTTGTTCCAATGAGGTTCGGAAAGTTGTTTCATGTCACTCTGGAAACATGATAATAAGAACAAAACAAGTGTTTGATGTGTTTTCTAAAACAATATAGATGAAATTATATATACATTTTTCCAATTACATTGTTATCATTCAAAAGATGACCATTAAATTGACATTTGATGTGTAAAATTTTCAGAATTTTTTGATGACTGGTTTAAGAGAAACGTGTGTTCAAAAATTTCGCCATATCGATACCCATCTTTTAAATTCCTTCTGTTGTACCTTACCGTTACCGCGCGTTATACCGTATACTACCTTGAGAGTTTGTGTAGGTTTAACTATGAAATTCACAGTTTAGGATGATGTTAGACATTTACATATAAAAAAAACTAGAAACCAGATCTTACTGAAACGATGACACATCAGTTTGCTCAAATTTTATCACCCTCGAGTTCTACCTTACCTTGTGTGTGCAACTGTCACGCTGAATTTGGTACTGCCCTTTTGATTTAGTAGCTGACACTATGAGTACTATGAGAAAATTGGTATTCCTGATGAACAATTATTATCAATTAAATGTTTACAGTAATTCAAAAACGTGTATGTGAGATTCATTTCCGGTTTATAAAAGTGAGGTCAGATACCTCCCGAGGGTATTTTCTTTTTCCAGCGCATTTTAGCATTTTACTTTACAGCATAATAGTCTTACAACAGATTTTGTAGCCACTAATGTGTCTTAAAATGTCCAAAATAATACATACATCAGATGAGTACCCTTTTTAATCTAAAATAGTAAGTAATAAAACATTTATTTTTTCAGGTATACCTCATATGGATAGAGTCCAGCTTTCAGTGCCAATATCAGAACTGGAAAAATCAACTCCTACAATGTTGTCAGACTACAAAGATAGAGATATACTTGTCGTTGAGTTCCGTGCTGATGAGGGTAGTGCTGTCATTATTTATGTTAAACCTGTCGAAGAAAACATTACTTTGAAGGTGTATGTTAAAGAGGATGAGAGGCCAGATATGAATGATATGAATAGTAATGCCACAAGGATACCACATGATGCTGACACACTGTATAGATCTCGAACTGATAAAACAGCTCACCCCAATGTTATATATATGCCCAAATCGAACCATAACAGGACGCTATTTATCGGTAAGGTATCTTTCCAATACATACATTTTCACTTTATTTGGTTGTTTCGTCTTTAGAAAAGTCAGAAATGATTTTTCTTTTTTAAGGTATTCTGCTTGAGAACAACAATCCAAGAAATTCTGAGTTTGTAGCAGGCTACAACATGAGTGGAATTCCTGAGAATGAAACACAAGGCCTTCATCTAGAGTTGGACATTGGAACTTATACTTTTAACTGTCTCTTTTGGAACGAGTTCTTGCAGATGTGGAGCGATGCTGGGTGTGATGTAAGTTTTGGTGTTAGAAATAGTTTAAGGTATGTTTTGGGAGGTTTCCTACGTGTGCAGGGTGGGCAAAAAAATTGATTTCAATCTAACTTCATGAAAAGGATAGGTATAGATATAGTGAACTGAATTCAACAATGTTTTCTCTTAAACCAATTATTGAAACATTCTGTAGAAAACACGGTCTTTTATGTAATGTTGACTAATTGGCAAACTGTTTTTGTTAACATTTTTTGTTTTTCAGTGCAATCGTTTTTTGTTCCTTTCTACCAATTCTTGAGAATGGATTAAAATGTCGTTCCGAACCTTGTTGGAACAAAATAGCATATACAACATTTTCTTAGACCTCTCAATATTATAGTTATACAAAGGAAATTTTGGTTGATTTTACAAAAAGTATGAAGATAAAAATTAAGATAAACCTTTTATTTCGCTAACAAGATACTTTTTAAAGAGGTTTTATGCCATAGGATAGCACAATCAAGCCCTCTCTGGACTTTTCTGCATATTGAGAAAAGTGTATATATATATTTCAGATTATAATGTTACCATCCAAAAGATGACCATTAAATTGACGATGTGTAAATTTTGAGAATATTTTGATGACTAGTTTAAGAGAAACGCGTATTCAAAAGATTCACCATATCGATACCACTCCTTTGCATATGATGCAAATATCACTTTTGAAATTGTTCCATAAATTGGATTAATAAATCTTTAGGGGTTTCCAGAATATTAAGGTAAATACTAAAGCAGGCACTAGGGCCACCTTGTTCAGAAGGGGAATATATATACTGTATAAGTGGTAATTTTGCCTAATCATTTAATTTGCCTATTTCCTAATTTTTGCCAGGTTCGGAAAATTAAATGTCGGAAATATTGTCTTTAAAATGTTATCCAATGGGAGGTTTCTTGTCATTAGGAAAATTAAAATTAGGAAAATTAGGAAATTTGACCATTCGGAAAATTAACCACTCGGATTAAATACCACTTATACAGTATACCGCTCAGTGAAAGTTGATGTGGGTTACAAGATTAGTGTAACTTGGGTTCCGTGGAAACTTTGCAGTTTTAGTCACAATACTCCAAAGTACATTTTGTAACAAATTGAAGACAGCTGGTGCACAATTTACAGAAAACTGTAAATATATAATGGTCTGATATAGTGGAAAAATACAATATTACGGTGAGTTTCATCAATTTCGATGATCGTCTCTTTAAATTAAGATTGTTCTCTAAATAAACTAGCTATTAATTCGAGTGTACTCAAGGGAACAGAAAGATGTAGATACACCTGATTAGTCATCATGCGTATCAGCCTGAAACAACTATGACTAATGATACAAAATGGACGGTACACATCTTATTTTAATATTTCAAATAAACAAATGGTAAAATGCTTTAATGAGGCCAGTTGTCATTGTTAACAGTTTCTTTCCATTCTAGACGAAACACATTGGATTTTTGTAAACGATGTATATATGCACCGGGGACACAATCAAGTTATCAAAAAGAAATTGTTGATATCAATAAAGAATTATTATAACATTGATCAAAACGTTTCACAAAATCTTAATTGAAATGTGAGAGACGTGGAATGTTTTGTTTTTGTGAACTTCCGTTTGTAACATTGCGCGAATAAAGTTGAATGTGAAAGTGCATTGCGCCATTTTTTGAATTTTCCTAATCTAATCTTATCCCTCTTTCAACATAGTACTTGTACAGCACGAAAAATACCTGGGAATAAACATAATAGTTGTCAATATTCCGATTGATATCTAGCACTAGGCCACTAATTATTTGTGAAAGAATGAGCTTTCAAGGTTTGGATAAGTAAAGCAAGCAATCAACCTTTGAAAGAGGTATCCCGGGATCATAATATTAATGTTTTTATGCTACTGAAATCTCATGGTGCGATGTTGCAAATGTGTATAGGATGAGCATAGAAATCTTTTTTGACCCAAAAAAAGTTTTGGGCTCTGCCTTTCTTTCGATTTTGCCTCATCAATCTGAAATCTCACCCCCCCCCCCCCCCCTTTGAGAAATCCTAGCTACGCCACTGAATGTAGTATTATTAACCTATTATGTATTTTAACGATGATGTAATCTAATATTTAATATGATATGATATGATATAGTAATACTATACATATACTTTTGCAAGAATTGATTAACTTAAAATCAGTTTTCTTTTACAGGTATCACCGTTAGCTACCCCAGGCGGTTTATCATGTGATTGTAACCATATGACAACATTTTCCGGCAGCTTCTTCGTGATTCCTAATGTTGCGTACCACTTCGGTCATGAAAATGTGTTTTTGACCTCCTCAAATAACCCGGTGACTGCCAGTGTCATATCAGCGGTTTGGCTCTTGTATATCATACTTGTTGTATATGCAAAGCGACATGACAGGAAAGATACTTCACATGTAAGTACTACATGTATTTATCCGCTCTGCAGAAGGTTGAGATGAAATATCTCTTATGGTCTTGTTTTGGTCATTTTTCTTAAACAAATATTCTAACCTTAAATTTGGCTTGCAATTCTGTTAAAAATCTTGCAAAGAATATAAGACATTGCATTACGTATGTCAGGGGCGTAGCCAGCTTTCAACCAGGGCCCCTATGTAGGTATACAATCGAACAATTGAACTATCTTTACTTTGTAGAAAACTAGACCAGGAGACAATAATTCTTTGCAGCACCACTGTTACCTTGTTACCATAGTAACAGGTTTGCAACAGGATGCAAGTACTAGCGCCAATGTATTTATTCAACTGAATGGAACAAAAGGATCGAGTGAATCCCAACAGTTGAAACGGAGATATGGGAATGCAGAGTTGTTCAGAGCTGGAAATGAGGATTATTTCCTAGTGACAACAATGGGAAGTATAGGCTTCTTGGAGTCTATCACAATCTGGCATGACAACACTGGAGACTATCCAAACTGGTGAGATGCAAGGGTTGATGGGAAGTCATAATTATAGTAAATATTCTGAAAATACTATACAAATATTTAGTGAATACCACTATTTATTCAATTAAAATGACGTCATTTTTAGTGAATACACTCTTCACACGTTTTCTAAGCAGGGAGACAAGGAATACCTCTATATATGTTTAGTCACATGGTATCTAATTGACCAATGAGAGAACAAGTATCACGGCATGGAAATAATAAAGTCAACGAGATGGTTTTATATATTTTAGGAATAAAGAATCGTGTATCATTCTATATTGGAAATATAAAAGCATGAGTGTACAGTATGTACGTACTAACCCATACACATTATGCACAAAGGCGAAGTCTGAGGACATTGTCAGAATGGGTTATACTGGAGTAGGTGATAGGGCATTGTCGTACGATGTAGTCTAAAAACTTGTTTTAATTAGTATGATCATATAGGCCATCCCAAGGGGCATTGATTCCTGAAATTTGAGTTCCCAATTTTTCAGCGTTAGACGGCTATTCCATGTTACTCCCCCTGAAATACCAATTATGGGGTATGGATATAAAATGTCCCATATCTCCATTACTATTAATGCATTATGTTTCATATTCTAGGGGGACATACATCACATCATAAGTATGTGTTGTGCAAAATATGACTAGGTCAGCTTTACTTATACTTATTCAAATACTCAAAAACCCTAGTATTCAAGTCAGCGGGTGATACTATTAACCGTGGACTTTCAATTAGACTGTACAGAGAAGTACAATTGCGTTGTGGCTTTATTTCATGATTTACTTTTGCCCTCCAGGTATCTCAATGAAGTTATTGTGAGAGATCTACAGAAAGACCAAGTCTGGGAATTCATGTGTAATAGATGGATGGCTGCAAATCAGGAAGACTTTTCTTTTTCATGTACACTACGTACAAAGAACGAAAATCGTTTAAAACAAACTTCCGAATCACTTCTTAGACTCATTGGTAATGTCATGCTTGACAATCATCTGTGGTTGAGTATATTCTCTAAACCTCCAGAAAGTCACTTTACACGAGTACAGCGTACCACATGTGTATTCACATTGATATTAAGTCAAATGTTGACTATAGTTTTGTTTTTTGGAATACCTAAGGATGGCCCTGAAGATCAAAAGCAGTACGGTCGGATTCATTCATCATCATCTGCTATTATAATAGGCTTATGGTGCAGTCTCATTATGTCCCCAGTCATTTTGATCATCGAGCAGCTCTTTAGACAAACCAAGGCAAAACCTAGAACTACTGAAAATAAAACGGATGATGACGAAATACCAGAGGATTTATATTCCGAGGAAGGTTATGAATCGATGGATACAACTAGAAGTGATTCCACTGGTTCACCTGAAATTGCAGATAATTTAGTAATAAGTTATGATGAAACTGAACCTTTGTGCAAACAAAACAGAATGTTCTTCACTCCGAACCAATCGACCCCGAACTCCTCTAAACTAAACGTATCATGGCTGACAGGACCAGATCACATATTAGCAAATGGAAGCTCACCAAGCATGAGGTAATATTTTGTAGTATAACATTTGAATCATAAACCTCCATATTTCATTCGTCCGACTATATCAACAGCAAAACTCTAGTAGAATAGCTTGTGATTTTGATTTTGAAGGAATTATAGTTATCATGTCAAATATTTCTGAAATTGGAGTCAGATTATATTTCAAATACTATCAAGTATGCCTGGCAGCCGTTAGATAATTTTTGAGTTTATATTTCGCTCCAGGCCATCCAAGTTGAATCCTTGCGTAGGAGATACAAAAACAACAACAATTACGACAACAATATCTTTGCATGATAGAAGCGGAAATGTTGCCTTGGAGACGTGGAAACAACAGGTTGACAAAGAGCTTGAGAGCGGGCTTGGGAGTGAAGCATTTAGACACAGTGTCATTGAACTTCAAGTGAAAAAGGAACAGCCAGTTGGGTATGTTCATGATGTTTAATTGCACCTGGTTACTTATTAGTGTTCTCGGGCTCTTTTATCTTATTTTCAGTTTAATGACTTTTATTTCTAGGCTTCCATGGTGGTTCCTCTTTATCAATTGGACACTAAGCATCCTAATCTGCCTGTCAGCTTCCTACTTCGTCATATTATATGGTCTGAAGTATAGCTACCAGGCGAGCATGGAGTGGCTCACCTCAATACTGACCTCAATGTTAACCAGTATATTGATCATGCAACCCCTCAAAGTGGTGGCCTTGGCAATATTGTCTGCGTCGATCTGTAAGAAAAAACATCAGATTCAGGATAGTAGAGACAAAATTGTCCCGGGTGAGTGAATGGGAAACCCCAGAGTTCAAAGATGACGTACATCTATAATGTAAATCTGTATTGAGATGACCCACCGTCCTGATTGGTCCAAATCGACAAACAAAAATGGCGGATTCGAAATTTTCTAATAACGCTTCGAATTATATAATGTACATTTCTGGCGTGTTAACCAAAATGATAGCTTATTAATTCACATTAAGATAAAGAAAGATGTAAGGAATATGCTTACATCGATTAAAACATCACGGGTATTTTAGATGTGACTTTCAGAAATTCTTCCTAGGCTTTACTGAAAAATACATTCATTTGAAGTTTCAAGTTTTGGCACTTGTTCATCCTCCTAAGCAGGTGTCCAGAATCCGTACCTCCTTCTTCCCCCCTGCTATAAGCAGTTTGGAAGCGCCAGATTAAAAGGAGTCACGTGATTTAATAATGCGCCAATGACGTGTACATGATTGCTGTCGCAGTATTGCGACAGCGAATCAAATTGCTAGTTCTTAATCGAGGAAATGCTAACTGCTTATCGCAGGGGGTAAAAAGAAAGAAGATTTTCTGGATTTTGAAGCCCTGTGATCGGAGGATGGCACTTGTTATACTTAGAGTTGTTGGTTTTATTTCCTTATGACTGGTGTAGTCTTAGATGTTTTCTTTTTATTGCTCCGTAACCTTTTTGGTATTTTCTCGTTCAAACTTGCGCTTCCATATGTATCCATTGAGGAAATAATGTCATGTTACAAATATTAAAGATAAATGCTTACAGATGTTTAACACTCCAAATTATAAAGGGGGGGTTGTGAAATTAAGACAATTTGTTATCGTTCTATCTAACCTAAAACTGAGGGTGGAACAAACACTAAGTCTTAATAAAAGAATACTATGATAAATGATAACACGAGTTACAAAAAAACATTTCATAATTAATCAGCCTAAATTGATAACTTATTTAAGGTTGGGGATATACTTAATCAGAGATATGGCTAAATCATTTGAATCTATCTGTATTGAGCCATTGCTTCTATCCCCTATTAAAAACTTTATTTTCTTTCTTTACAGAACCAATGGATGCTGTAGTAGCACCATATATGGACAGTGGCCGTGATAATGATATAGATGAAGTACAAAAAGAAATTATTCTACTAGGAGATGAGAAGATTCACATCAAAGAGGAGAATATTGAAGTCCCAGAGGAAAACATTTATCTTCAGATGTTAAAAGTGGCGGCTGTATATCGAAATACGGCGGACCTTCAGAAGAATTCACCAAATATTGATGTTGATGCTAAAGTAGCACCATACATGGACAGTGACAGTAATAATGAGATAGATGAAGTACAAAAGGAGATTATTCAACTAGGAGATGAGAAATTTCACCTCAAAGAGAAGAACATTGAGGTCAAAGAGGAAAACATTCATCTTCAGATGTTAAAAGTGGCGACTGTATATCGAAATACGGCGGACCTTCATAAGAATTCACCAAACGTTGATGTTAATGCTGAAGTAGCACCATATATGGACAGTGACGGTGATAATGAGATAGATGAAGTACAAAAGGAGATTATTCTACTACGAGATGAGAAGATTCACCTCAAAGAGGAGAACATTGAAGTCAAAGAGGAAAACATTCATCGTCAGATGTTAAAAGTGGCGACTGTATATCGAAATACGGCGGACCTTCATAAGAATTCACCAAACATTGATGTTGATGCTGAAGTAGCACCATATATGGACAGTGACGGTGATAATGAGATAGATGAAGTACAAAGGGAGATTATTCAACTAGGAGATGAGAAATTTCACCTCAAAGAGAAGAACATTGAGGTCAAAGAGGAAAACATTCATCTTCAGATGTTAAAAGTGGCGATTGTATATCGAAATACGGCGGACCTTCATAAGAATTCACCAAACGTTGATGTTAATGCTGAAGTAGCACCATATATGAACAGTGACAGTGATAATGAGAGAGAGCAGCTACAAAAAGAGATATTTCAGCTGAGAGATGAGAAGATTCAACTCAAAGAGGAGAATATTCAAGTTCAAGAGGAAAAATCTCAACTTCCGATGTTAAATGTAGGTGTTTTACGTCGAAATTCGGCGGACCTTCAGAAGAAGTCACCAAACATTTCAACTTACAGTGGATTTACCATTTATTTGTTTTTACTTAGTGCTGCCATGGTATTTCTTGGGTGGATTATGTTTTATTATTACAGATGAAGCTTAATAATATTACACTGATTGAAATGGGGTAATACCGTCGGCCTGTGTGGTAATATCAGTATATCTGTATGTACAGATGTCGATTTCATTCTGTTACAGTTGATACTAGACAGTAAAAACAGCAATAAAGTTCAATTAAATATAACAATGATACTTAAGTGGATGTCCAATCAATGATGCCCCTAACTGTCTATTAATTTATGTTGGTAAATATCTTTGACAATCCTTGTGGGATAATTCAATACTGATCAAGATAATCCAATAGTGTTTGAGATAATCCTGTGATGTTCGAGATCACGAAACATTCCAATGATCTATAGACGATAGTCCTCAAAAACGAGATTTAGAATATTAAATGTGCTTGTATCAATATTATGCAAATTTCCATATAACTTCTCCTTGCTGCAGCGGCAGTTGACAAGATGCTTATCGACTCGTTATAAGATGATATTCTAGCCTGTGCAGCTCTGCTACCTAAAACTGGTAGTGTAGTAATTATTGCTCAATTGGTTTATTTTGCCAGTTTTATATCATTTTTTCTAAATGTTCAGACCAATTTAAAATCATTTTCTGGATTCTTAAGTCACAAAGAATGGATGTGAAATCGTGATTTAAAGATGGCATGAGCAGATGAGAATCAAATGTATGAATACAACAGTAGTCTTGATTCATATTTTACATTCCTATCTTACTTACTTTGTATATTATAAGCCATAACGACATGAACAACAAAGCCAAAAAATTATGAGTATTTTTTTGAGTGGGCCTGTATCTTAAAAGGCCTATCTGTAATCCACAGGGCGCTAGCCAATTAGTAGGAATCGGTGGCTCAATCAACCGGGTTCCTGTGACTTTTCTCCGATATCTTGATTTCGCAGCAACATTTTAAACAACATGCTCCAGTGGCCACTTTTGCATTGTAGACAAACCTACACAGGTTGTCCAAAATGTCTGAACCTGACATCTACCTTTGGGGATATGCCAAAGATATAATGTACAAGAATGACCTTAGGACAATTCTAGACCTCAAGATGAGTGATGGGGAGTGCAGTCGGATCATTGATAACTTGTGCTTACTTACTTACGGCGCGATGATGGCCACATATGGAATATGTTGTTTAAAGTGATGTAAAATTGTGACTATCAGTCTGATTGTCATGAAATATGGTGGGATGGTAGGAAATTAAATGATATGCAAATGTGAAAAATATCAGGGAGTAATTCCCTTAAGATAGGAAAAAATGCAAGGTTGATGTTTTTGGACCACCCTGTATATTTCATAACCTTATCATTGTTTGAAAAGGTAAAGTTTATATTACTTTTATTGGTCATTATAATTACATAATTAACGGGTAGGTCATCAAGAACTTAAAGCATGCTCAAAGATTTCAGATGGGTCATAGTGTTCTGCAATTAGAACGAGTGACAACGTTCTTAAGACTAGCTGGACGTATTATGAACGTACTATGTCGTAACTATGTCGTACTTTAATCCTTATAGGAACGTTTTTAGAACAATTTGAATTGTATGAGGACGTATTGAGAACGAAATAGAACTAATTGAAAACGGGTTTAAACTGATTAAGGACGTATTAAAGACTGCTTATGAACGAGTTCTTTAAAACGTTGCCAAACTGGGCTTATACCGTCTGCGAACGGAATGAACAGCTGCAACTTTCCACGGTCTATTTACTAACTTCATAGACGTGCTCGGGTGGAAAGGTGATTTAGAATTTTGAATCATTTCAAATTTCGATGGCGACCATACCGTTCTGTAATTAGATCGTGTGACAAGCACTGATCACCCTACTTTAGAAGCCTCTATATATACATGTACAGGGTGGTCCAAAAGAAGTAAACCCTTGCAAAAGCTATATCTCAGTTATGACCCGCGTTAATGGGCTAATATTCTCACATCTTTTTGTGGACGTCCAAATGTTTTGTTGATACCATAAGGGTTAGTCAGTCTTTAATCTAGTAGAAGTTAAATGACAAGAAACAGACATGGCTCATTTATCTATATATTATTATATGATTTGCTCAATCCATGCTCCGTGGTTCTGGATGACTGCTGCAACGCGAATGTTGGAAGTTGTTCAGTGCTCTTACACATTCCTTTAGATCATTTGAGAATATTCAGCTTTTTGGATCAGCCTATGTATTTCATGGACTGAAAGTCTTGTATCAGTGCTAGTCTTGCTTCGAAACCGTAGATCCCCTCCCTTTTACCTACTTCTATTATTGTTGAAGTAGGGGGATCCAGGGTCTTGAAGCAAGACTATATTAGTATAATCAGAATTTAAGGATCTTGTTAAACACTTCATCCGTTTAAGGGCCAACGCGAGGTCCACACGGCTCACCCCGGAATAGCCTGACTACGGTTAAGTCAGATACCGTTGCCACAAATGGCGGACACAACCATCGCTTCAATAAGATTTTCATGAACTGTATGTTTAATAAAGCGACTAGACTAAATTCATTTGGAACAACAATCAATCAAAGTGTCTTTATACTCATTGTACAGTTAATAATGTTATACCATCTAAATAAAGTCTTTAAAATAACCGATCGAAATGAGATACGGGACAACTGGATAACAGACACTGTAATTACAACTCCTTATTATTCTTAAATGTCAACATTATAAACAATTTTTATAAACTTTTAGACCCAAAGTACAAGTTAAGAGGACATCATAATAGGGTGATGCAATACAAGAGCACTCCAAGACAAAAATGCTTTTAGAACTTTAAATCTTAAAGGCGTCGGTTCATTTGTTGATTTGCTTTAAACATCTGTGATATTTGTAAACTGCTGGGCATAAAATTGCAGATTAACTGTCTGAGGAAGTGACCTTGACCTTGTTTTGTCTCTGGCCTTGACCTCTCTCGGGGTCAGTCCCTTTTCTAAGTAACTTCCAACAACTGCTGCATTAGCCTCTACACTGATTCTACGATGATGTTCAACTAGTTCGCCGACAGTGTCCTCTTTCTCACTTTGAAGAGCATCGTTTAAATAATCATCATCTAGGTCTGAATTATCAGTACAGGACGTGGTACTCTGTCCTTTTAGCTCAACATCACGGTCAAAGTCACTTTCTGTGCTGGTAATACTACTAGTCATACTTTCACGCTGTTCTTTGTTTTCCAATCCAAAGTTTTTAGCGACACTATTTATAAGTGATGTGTCATGCTGTTTTGGGGATCTGTCATTTTGATTTTTCTCAGGAAGCCAAACTTCATGCTGATCTCCATCGGTTTTAATAGCTAATGGTTCTGCAAGTACTACACTTACTTTGCGTTGACGACCTCTAGGACTGACGTTCCCATTAATATTGTTGCCTGTTGTTTTTTGTACGTCGCCGGAAGATTTTTCAGATGATTCGTTCTGTTTGTGAATACTTGAGTTCGAAGAGTCATCACTCTTTATATCATGCGTCACGTAGTTAGCATCCTTTATCTTGTTTTCGGCATGTACAGATTTTGTGACTAATTGTTTTAATTTTCCTATCACTTTCCTTGGTGCTTTTGAAGATATAGCTTTGTTTGTTTGTTTAAGATTAGCCAAGCTATTATTCTCCCCTGTCTGCCTTTTGATGTGGTCAACATCCGTGCTGTGTGAAGATATATATTCAGAAAAACCAGATCCCCAATTCTTGTCTAGGGGGATGGTCTGGAAATTATGTGCATCGTTCAGTCCTTGTATATGGTTATTAAATGCCTTTTTCGTTTCCACAACAAGGGCTTCCATGCCATTGAGTTCACTTTCTATGTGTTGTCTCACATTTTCAATACTCGTATTATTCATATGTAAGTCAGCGTTGAGTTTTCTCATTATCTCCATTAATGTATCATTCACGGCAAGAATTGCTTTAATATGTTGAGTCTGTCGATGTACCACGATATCCTTTTCATTCATAAACTGAACGATCTCATTTTGCTCAAGACGAAGTTGATTTTCAAATGATACGAGGTTATCCAAAATGGCCGCCAATTCGGCATCCCAGGCTTCTCGCTCAGCTTTATAAAACTGTTCTTTTTCTTCATATTTTGTCTTCCAGAATGATGCTGTGGTGTCAGCGGTCACTGCTTTTGTTGAGTGAGGACCAACAGTAGCCATGGTTGTGTTTAACTCTACGCTCATTAATGAAGAACCTGAAATATAAATAATATACTATATCTAGTAGCTATATTTATGGATTAAACCATGACATAAACGATATAAAGAACAACATATTCTCCAAAAGTAATCGACCTGGCCGTTCATGCATGTCAGGTTGTTAAAACACAGCCTGACATCAAGTGACACACAATGCCTCGTTGCATGTTAATCTATTTATTATGAACATATATACATATATTGATCGTTATATGTTACTAAATACCAATATTTCCTTGTTAATCAATGCATTGGGAGTGTTTGTCATTGATGAAAACAATAGTGATAATTATTTATTCATATTTCTCTGATAGTAATCTAATCACGCTAAGTGTGTTTCAATCAGAGGCTATAGACACCATTATATAAAGGTAGAATAAAAACGAAAAAACAAATGGCAATAAATCAGAATAGCTCATAGGACCAGTATTAAACCAAACAACATCTGCTGATATCCCAATCCCATTTATAGAAATATAAATAAGTATCAATGTACTGCATTTGATAAATGACGGGATTTATTCCAATAGTATCGTAATGAATTTCTTTAGTAACACAATGCAGTGTGTATGTATTCCATCAGTAGCATAATGTATTCAATGAGTTACATAATGTATTACGTCAGTTACATTTTGTATTCCATCAGTAACATATTGTATTCCATGAGTTACATAATGTATCACATCAGTTACATATTGTATTACATATCAGTAGCATGATGTATAACATCAGTTGTATTCCATCAGTAAAATATTGTATTACATCAGTTACATATTGTATTACATCAGTTACAAATTATATTACATCATTAACATGATGTATTACATCAGTTACATAATGTATTACATCAATAACATATTGTATTCCATCAGTTACATAATGTAATCAATCAGTAACATATTGTATTCCGTCAGTAGCATAATGTATTACATCGGTAACATGATGTCTTCCATCAGTTACATGAGGTATTCCATCGCTAACATATTGTATTCCGTCAGTGACGTGATGTATTCCATCAGTTACATGATGTATTCCATCAGTTACATAATGTATTACATCGATAACATATTGTATTCAAGCATTAGCATGATGTATTCCATCAGTTGCATAATGTAATCAATCAGTAACATATTGTATTCCGTCAGTAGCATATTGTATTACATCAGTTACATATTGTATTACATCGGTAACATGATGTCTTCCATCAGTTACATAATGTATTCCATCGCTAACATATTGTATTCCGTCAGTGACGTGATGTATTCCATCAGTTACATGATGTATTCCATCAGTTACATAATGTATTACATCAATAACATATTGTATTCCATCAGTTACATAATGTAATCAATCAGTAACTAATTGTATTCCGTCAGTAGCATAATGTATTACATCGGTAACATGATGTCTTCCATCAGTTACATGAGGTATTCCATCGCTAACATATTGTATTCCGTCAGTAGCATAATGTATTACATCGGTAACATGATGTCTTCCATCAGTTACATAATGTATTCCATCGCTAACATATTGTATTCCGTCAGTGACGTGATGTATTCCATCAGTTACATGATGTATTCCATCAGTTACATAATGTATTACATCGATAACATATTGTATTCCATCAGTAGTATGATGTATTCCATCAGTTACATGATGTATTCCATCAGTTACATAATGTATTACATCGATAACATATTGTATTCCATCAGTAACATGATGTATTACATCAGTTACATCATTAGACAGGTAGGAAGGAGGGGTTCCCATGCACCCGAAAGATGTATTTTTTTAATGTACATTTTTGTAATCCTAAAGGTCCATACTAAAGATTTTAGCATGTTCCCAGAATGAAATATTGTCCCATGGTATATATTGGCGGCCATCTTGTCGGCCATCTTGGATTTTTGAAAGAGTTGATGTTAATTATCTCAAAGTATAATAACTTCCAGAGTTTTGAGATTTGAAAGCTGTAAGTGGTACCAAAATGAAGCTATTATAGTATCCTATATTATCAGATGCAATAATTATGCAAATTGTCTCATTTGCATAAAATGTGACATCATCAATCATAATTCTTGCCTCTTTACAACGGTATCACATTATACCTTTCTGCCTGAGTGATCAGTCTTAGTCATTCATTCACATAAATGAATTTAAATATATAGGTACATTAATTTTGAACATATTTGCAACAAAAAAATTCGAAACTTTTGGAAAAACATTGTCAGACACACGATAATGTAACTGAAAAGAGGCGTGGCACTTCTGGTGAAAGAATTGATTTTAATTACCTTAAAGTATAATAACTTCCACAGTTTTGAGAGTTGAAAGCTATAAGTGGTACCAAAATGAAGCTATTATAGTATCCCATATTATAAGATATAATAATTATGCAAATAGTCTCATTTGCATAAAATGTGACATCATTAATCGTAATTTTTGCCTCTTTACAACGGTATCGCACAATACCTTGCTGCCTGAGTGACCAGTCTTAGTTATCCATGAACATAAATGAATTTGAATATATAGGTACATTAATTTTGAACATATTAGCAATTGAAAGTTTTGGAAAAAACATTGTCAGACACTAAGTTATAACACTTCACATGATTATGTTACTGTAAAGGGGCGTGGCACTTCTTGAGAAAGAGTTGGTGTTAATCATTTCAAAGTACAATAACTTCCACAGTTTTGATAATTGAAAGCTGTAAGTGGAACAAAAATGGAGCTATTATAATATACTTATAAAAATGCAATAATTATGCAAATTTTCCCATTTGCATAATATGTGACAACCCCTATTATTTTTGGCATTTTCAATGGTAACGACCAATATCTCTCCCTCTGGGTAACAGTCTTGGTTATTCATGGGCATTTATGATTTTGAATATATAGGTACATTAATTTTGAACATATTTGCAATTGAAATTTTGGAAAGACTTTGTAAGAAATTAAGTGTTGACACTTCACAAGATTATGTAACTGAAAGGAAGGGCTGAAGCTTGTCTAGCAGAGTCACGTAGATAGAGCCCAATGTTGCTCATTGGTGAAATGTTGGCCAAATTTTGCATCTTGTATGCACTGCTTACAAGTACATGAAGTGTTCATTATGATAGTGTAATTCCAATATGACAGCACAATACAAGTCAGGCTATTTTATTGTCACATATGCAAAAGTCGATCTGATGAGACATGTTAAAAGTGGTAGTGGTTAATAATGCCCAGATCAAATTAACACAAGATAGATATTGAAGGTAGGCCCAGATCAAAGTATGGGCATCCTTAGCCTCAATCATGACGCCATCTGTATTATCCATTAGTGAGAGCTGTAACCCAAATAATTAATGAGTATATGATTTTTTAATGTATGTGTCATTCAGTTGCCATGCACTTGGGGCAGTTGGCGGTTTCTTCCTTGCCCCAAAGTCTGAGGTTTGATGGAGTTGAGACCAGGTCAGGGAAAGCTCTTAATAGGAAATTGAGCCTCTCTTGGTCCTGGACCAAAGGTCATTCCATTTTAAGAAGTGCTGAAGTGAGGGTTCCCAAGTAATGTCAGGTAATATAATGTCAGGTAATTCCCAGGTAATGTAAATCTGGAAAGGCCACTGAAATCGGGGAGTAATATCATAACACCCCGATATATGACTTGAGTCAATGGCTCTAAACCACTTCTCCAGGTCCCTTGACACTTCAGCTGTTTTGTTCAAACCACACATAGTTCTTCTCTAGACATTTGTTTCTTTATCTTGCACTGTTAGTATTTGCTTGCCATTTATTTTTAACTGCATTGGAGAAAGCTTGCCATCAACCAAAACCATGCTTCTTGACCTGATTGGTTTTTAACTTCATGCAAGTACCCACTTTCATCTTGTACCCACTACTGAACTGGTCATAACTGTGATGTCATCCATGAAAGCTCTGTATGGTAAGTGTTTTCCACCTTCATTTGCTTTTGAAACCTTACACTGCATCATCCCTGCCTTGAGCAGTAAGTTCATTGATGTTACGAAGAGAACTACTTATACAGTGCAGTCTGCCACTATGCCTTTCTCTGAACTCTGCTAATTAGTGGTATTATTGCCAAATGTATTGTGCAACCTCAAGGAGTTTGTGTGTCCCATTGTCAGATTGACTACATCTGTTGGTTTTGGTGCGTGAAAGTACCTCTAGTATCAGTTGGTGAGGGACACTAGGTAGACCTTAGGTCCAGCCAAACTACTTATTCTCTTTCTTGGCTTCCTTCACAAGTTGGCTTATTGCTGCTATATGCACACTTGATGTCTTGGGATACCACTTTTCTGAATGCTTGGCAGGCCAGTAGGAAATAACTGTGAGACTTGACCACAATGGCCCAGAAGATCTTTCCCTCAGCATCCGATAATGATGTCTACTTGAACTGGTTCAGTCCCTCAAATTTTAGCTCCTTTGGAATGAAGGACCTTTCCGCCAAAGCCCAAGTCCTTGCTAGATTATTCTTGTTCTGGATGCTTGTTAGCAATCACCATAGATGTATTAACAGCTTATGGCTGTTCTTGTACACCATGTATGCCTTCCTGATGATGGTCCTTACCTCATCAAGCTTGAAATCTGACTGGTCAAACAGTTTTGATGATAAATCTTGTGAGATGTCAATTGGGAAATTACTCGATGGAATATTTTGATCTGGGTCACTGTGTGCTGCCAAAGTATTTGTTTCTGCTTGATCCTGCGTATATGCCATACGGGCACTCTTTGGTTCCCTAACAAGTTTGATGTGAGCCTATAGAGATTTTCAAAGAATGTCTTCCTGGTTCTACGCTTCTCTTTAGATTTTCTCTAAGATGAAGTAATCTCTTAAGAAGCATCTGTTGGAGCTCTCTGATCTTTTTCACTTGCCAGTGTTGAAGCCGTCCACAAACACTGTGGGCTTCATCTCTCCTTCCGAAGAGAAGCTTTCGTCTTCTACTTGGCCCAACACAATGGTGTTTCACAGATGTAACCTCCACTCACTGTC